TCAAATGACTTGTCCAAGGAGACATAAACAGCAACAAGAGAGGCAGGATAATGTAGTTGAAAAAACTGGGAATCCAAAAACCTGGCTTCTAGTCCAACTTCTACCACTCACTAATTGTGTCATCTTGGATGAATCACTTCACTAATCTGAGGTCCATTTCCTCATTAGTAAGGTTGGACTAGAGCAGTTCACACTGGATAATTCTGAAAAACTTCCTGTTCCAAAAGCCTTTGATTCCATGTCTCACAGAGGCCAAACAGGACTTAAACCTAGGTCTTCTGATTCTAAGCTTCTTTTATTACACAATGCTACCTTTCTCTGATAGCTGGGATCATGACACAATGATGACTAAAACCTAAGGATAAACAACAAACTCATTTCAGCTATTGGTCTGAACCTTTACCTGCCAAGGAAAGCTTATTCCATGATTGCAAATAAGAAGAACACCTGATCACTTTGAGTTTGGCTTTTTCTTCTTGCTTCTACTGACCCTCTGATAGAGGTGCTAATGAGAGGTGAAGCCACGGAATTACAGGATCACAGAATCTCACATTTGGAAGGGACCTCTGAGGTCATTTCACTCAACTCAGCCTGAACAGGAACCCTATCCATACCATCCCTGAGTAGTTATCCAACCTCCACAGATAGAATCAACCTCCCTTTGGGGGGGCCACTTCCTGAGGCAACCTGTTCCATTTTTTAGCAGTCTTAATTTTTAAGAAGTTTCCTTTTTCATAGAGGTGAAAATGATGTTTTGGGATCTTCCACTTATTATTCTTACTTCTGTCCACTGAAACCAAACAGAGACAACTCTCCCATGTGACAATCCTTCAGATATTTGAAAACATCTACCATATTCCCCCTGTGGCTTTTTTTTTTCTCCAGGAGAAAAATCCCAGTTCATTCAAGTGATCCTTTTCAGTATAATTTCCAGGTTGTTCATAATCCCGATTGTGGCTCTTCCTTCTCCAACCTCCTTTAATTCCTATGATCCTATAACAAAGAGAAAGAAAGGGAAGAAGAGAGAGGATGGGCAGCTCACCATCCATTTAATCCCCACTGCTTGGCTCAGCTAATAGTCGCCTCAAATTGAGAATTTGAACATCAGGTTGAATTTTTTTTAGGACCTTATGGATCAATTCTTTGATTTTGACCATTTTCACAATGTGCTTTAACTTGGTTTTCCCCCCTTGATGGAAACTGAAACTGGAAAGAATGCTCATGGTCTCCCTTACCATCCTAGCTAATAAAATATTCTATTATTTTCTCAGCTGCTAAAATATTCTATTATCACTGATCACTTCCTTGTAGGCAATGTGTGTTTGTCATCGGCTGCAGTTTACATAAAAACCACACAGGCTGCCTGAAGGATAAATTGCCATTTGAGTAGGTACTTGGGGAAGGGGAGATGGATTCCGGGTACCGTTCTGAATTCCTGAAAATGAGGAGGCTGAGAGTATGGCAGACAGCCAAACCACATTTAGGTTGACACTGGTCATGCTGGACCTACATGGTTCATCCAATGGTCCCATGCTCTGAACCAGAACTAGGGTGAACATTCATTCATTCAATACTCAACAAATATTTACAGAACACTGATCACGTTTAAGATCCAGTGCTAAGACCTACAGAGGCAACTGAGAAGTGCTAATTGGTCTGACCTCAAGGAGCATGTTGTCTTGTTTATAGTGATTTGAGGGGCAGGCGGAGGAACAGAGAGTCTTTGGCTATAATTTAATTGGTATAGGTAACTACCAGTGAGGAAAGCCCCTCTACCAATGCAGATCAGCTACTGTCCTACAGCTTATAGTCTTAGCAAGTTTTTTGGTAGGGGTGGGGCAGAAGTCCTGAAAGGTTAAGTGACCCATTCAGAGTCACACAGCCAATATGTTAGATGTAAAACTTGAACCCAGGTCTCAATGACTTAGAGACCAGCTCTCTATCCACTAAACCATACTATCTTATTAAGAGTGATTGACATACACGGTTAGCCACTGGGTAAGGCAGTATTTGCTAACTGTAACATGAATGGTACAGACAATACATACTAAATGGGAGTTCTGAGGAGGGAGGGATCGCTCATTTTGGGAAAAGTTGGGAAAAGCAAAAAGAAGAGATGGAAGCATTCCAGACTGGGAAGTGGTATAAGACAATTGTGACTAGGTGTAGGGGAGAGAGCTCCCCTCTTTCCTAGATGTGTGGAGATGGAGAAGCTTAGTTTTAGTGTTGTCTCCCAATGGCACCAAGTTATGCCTGCGTAACAGCCCCATTGCTATCCCCAGAAAAGGGAAGTCAAGAGATTTAGAACCTTGAGACCATTTTTTCTTTGCCTCAAGCATAATCGGGACTGCTTAAGCCTCAGACTGGGAAAAGAGTAGGTACTTTGCTATTCCTATTCCAGTTCCTGGCTCCCTTTCTGAAGCAGCCAGATTGTGTTCCCCTCCCCCATCCCCTAGACCAAGGCCACACACTCTATAAGCTCAGTTGTACTAGGCTGGCCCTTCCATCTACCTGTTAAGGGATCAGTGCCTCAGATGAAAGTTTCTCCTAAGATCTCCTGCAGAGTCAAGAAGGGACACTGGTTTTCAATGGGTGCTCAGGAATTTAGCCTTATAAAAGGACCCTTTTGTGATTTAGAGTAAGCCTTTATTTCATAAAACCCAATGGATCCATATCAAAATGAGCTAAAGGGGAAGAGGCTTTTTGGCATAGGTGCTCCTAGAAACTCAGGGTCCAACCCACAAAAATACCAAGTGAGGGGACCTTCCTGTTTCTCTTCTATTCTGAAAGGATTATTTTAGGGACAAGCTTTTTTTTTTTTCCCGCAGTGAAAATATGAGATTGTATTTGGAAAGGATGTTGCTGCTCTGCTTGAATGACCTGGTGTTCATGGGATTTAGGGCTGGAAGGAAGCTCAGGGATTATTTAGTACAAAAAAACTGAGTCCAAGGAAGGTAAATGCAGAACATCTCTAAATGTGAAGCTAGATGATTAGGGCACAGATTCTGGCTTTGCCTCTCTTATTACCAGCAAGACCTTGGGCCATTCATTTCTATCTCTTTGGGTCTCAGTTTCATTATCTGTAAAGTAAAGTGATTGGACTAGAAACTAGGGGTGGGGACCCTGTGGCCTCAAGGCCACATGTGGCCTTCTAGGTCCTTGGGTGCTGCCTTTAGACTGAGTTCAAGTTTTACAGAACAACCCTTTTATTAAAGGGATTTGTTCTGTGAAGTTTGGATTCAAAGAGCCACACTTGAGGACATAGAGGGCCACACCTGGCCTTGAGGTCACAGGTTCCCCACCCCTGGAATCTTTCATGGTCCTTTCAGCTTTCAATCCTACAATCTATAACTATAATCCTATGAGTCTGCATGTGATTTACCCAAGGTCATTTAGGTAGTGGGAGAGCCAGTAGTCAGATACAAGTTGCTTCTCATTCCAAATCCAATATTTTCTCCTTCCTCAGTCAGCAGCCATCATGGCTAATGAAATGGCTTGACTCTTGGTAGAATCAAAGGCTAGAAATTTGGGAGTAGGTGAGATGACCACTGGGTTATTGGGTAGTGATTCTTTGGCAGAACCATGACTAGGGCAGTATACGAGTGTAGTTTTGTCCCAGAGAAACAAAATGTACATAGAACAAATATTAAACATATTCACCTCTTCAGCAAAGTGGAAACTATTTAAAAAAAAAACTAGAACTGTGATTTCACCAATGTAAAGAGTTTCTAATAAGGGACTTCCTCTAACAATGTAGAATGGTACTTGTTCTGCAATTTATAGTAAGCCAGGTATCTATGGGAGGCGAGATGGTGAGGCAGATGGAGTACATGTCCTGGAGTAAAGAAGACTCATTTTCCTGAGTTTCTCAGAGATCTGGCCTCAGAGACACTTAACCCTGTTTGCCTCAGTTTCCTCATCTGTAAAAGGAGAAGAAAATGGCAAACTACTCCAGCATCTTTTCTAAGAAAACCCTAAATGAGGTCAGGAAGAGTTGGACACAACTGAAAAATGGTACAACAAGGTATCTATAGAGGAGCTCTGTGCTGAAGGCCATACAACTGGGAGCACATTGAGCTCCTGCTATACATTGTGTCCCTTTAAAGGAGGTGAAGATTCCAAAGGAATGGGGAAAAAAACTTAGACCTTATTAATACTGAACAAGATTACCAAAATAACATTAATAAATATTAACTTGTATTGCTAATTTCCTGTCTATACAACATTTGTATATGAATGGATGGCATATTCAACAAGAGTATCAATAGGGAATAATTAGGCTTTCTCAAGTGATGTTCAACATGAACTACATCTTTACCATTTCATAATTAACTGAAAAATGTAGAGAATAGAATATGCAATTGTGTTTATTGTTTATTGACTCCCAATCAAATGTTCTTTCTTCTGCTCATCCTAAAAACCAAGTAACACATTCAGAGTGAATACTTAGAAATCTCTACAAGGAACTTCTGTATGCTGATAAAACCTCAGAGGCCATGCCTTTTCTCTCTTCTGGGACCCCATTTCCTCTTCCAGTCTTGGGAAAAGGCAGTGCTGTGCCCACGGAGAAGCCAAAGGAAGTACCCATCTAATCCCTCATTATGGAGGAAATGTATTCTTGCAAGCTGTTTTCTTCCTGCCCAATTGGATCACCTGTTTACTCATCCATTCTCCCAAGCAGATGTCCATACAACAAAGTAATGGAGGAAATTGTTAATGCTAAATGAAGTTAGTGGGTTTACATATGAGAGAAGCCTGTTATCCTAAAGATTGTTCTTAATAGGTGCATAAAACTTTCTGCCTCCTGAAAACTCCTTTCATCCTTTCTCTCCCTTCCACTCTCCACCTCCATCCTCAGCCCCAATCATATTTTCCTTCATAGTGGTATTTTTTAAAGACTTTTTCTCCTAGCATTGCAGTACACCTGGCTGACAGCTCACAATGCCCAGCTGGCTTGATGGAAGCATAGGGATTAGAGAAAAAGCACACTCCATAGGTACCTCAGAGATGCTTGTTTTAGAGAACTGCAAGGCCAGCATTTGTTTACAGGATCTGCACAAAGTGTGTCACTTTCTGAGGCAGGAAGAAGGAGAGATGAATTCCTAGTGGGTCTCAGTGCTGAGTACCAGGGGGATGAAGCTTAACACAGCAAGGTTGAAATTCACTGTGGAGAAGGAAAAGGAAGAGTTGAGATGGCAGAACCTAACAGATTTCCAAGCCAGCTTGAATTTGCTCTTCTACTCTAGGGCTATGCTTTGATATTGTTGAAGTATTAAGAAATGGGGCATTTCTGTCAAGAAAAAAACTGCTCCACCAGCTTGCCTCCAGAATTTTACCACTATAGATCTTTGGACTGGGCATTCCCTTCCCTTTGTGGTCTTCCTTCAAATTTGGTCACCCACAGAAGGGAAGGATTTACCACGTCACATTCTTAAAGCTCTGGTGAGCTTGTTTCTTTAAAAATACTTTGATAGCTATATTTCAGTATGATTGCTTTCCTTTGTGATCCCATATATTTTATTTTCTGCATTTAAAAACATTATTTTTGAGAAAGACTCTATAAGATTCACCATATTGCCAGAAGGGTCCATGATACTCCTGCCTCAGACCATTCTCCTTGGAGCCATGGTATGCCTGAAACATACTTCTCCCTTAACCTGTTGAAATTATTTCCTTCTTTCTCACTTGCTTGTATTTATAGCCCTAGCACTTAGCACAGTTCCTGGAATATAGGAGCACTTAATAAATGCTTTTTAAAAATCCCATGTCCATTGCAATGACTGATTGGAACCTTTTGATTCCTTGGCACTGTCAGCCATTATTCCTATCATGGCTGAATCATGTGGTACAGAGAAAAAAAATCTATAATATGGTTCTTTCTCCTTTATCTCCATCATGACATTGGAATCTATTCCTGGGTCGCCTGTTATAATAGGTGAGTTTGCCTTATTTGTCTGAAACCCAGCCTCCATGACACTTCAAACCATCTCTGTGCCATGTTACATGCCTTACATGTCTCTTTTTTAGCTCCTCTTTGTCCATTGTCTTCTCCTGTTATAGTGTAAGCTCTTTGATAGAAGACTCTTTTGATTGCTTCATTTGTATCATTAGTATTTAGCACAGTGCCCAGCACATTATAAATATTCAATAAATGTTTTTATTCCTCTATCTATCTATCTATCTATCTATCTATCTATCTATCTATATCTATCTATCTATCTATCTACTTATCTGGGCAGCTAGGTGGTACAGTGAATAGAGTATCAGACCTGGAGTCAGGAAGACTGATGAGTCTTGGGTTCAAATTTGGCCTCAGACACTTACTAGCTATGTGACCCTAGACAAGTCACTTAACCTTGTTTGCCTCAGTTTCCTCATCTGTAAAATGAGCTAGAGAAGGAAATGGTAAACCACTTCAGTATCTTTGTCAAGAAAATTTCAAATGGGGTCACAAAGAATCAGACAGGACTGAGACAAGTAACAAATATCTATCTTTCTATCTGTCTGTCTGTCTATCTATCTACCTAGCATCTTAAAGACAAAAAAGTATCGGAGTAGTTAAAGAAAGGAGACTTCATTAGAGCCTAGTGTCATCAGGGGTGGTATCATGAAAGATTAGGGATCTGATCTGTGTGTGGAAGGATGAGTTGGTTCTAGATAAATACAGAAACAGAAGCATATACCTAAAATTTTTAAGTTAACATGAACTGGGACAAGATCTGGATGATTTGGGCTAGGGTGGGGACTCTGATCTTAATGAAACATGATTGTCAAATAGTGATCTAGGGTTGTCAAGAGGGATAATTTAACCCTCAAATGAGGCTGATTTATCCTGTGTATTGTAATCAAACAGTAGCCTAAGTCATACTCTGCAAACTCCGCTAAATCACTTTTAGTACATATTGAAAGTGACAATATTATATTTTATAGCTGAATTGCCATCTTACAGTAATAACTAATGCATGTCATAGATTTTAGCTGTAGTTCTGAATTACACACACTTAGAGACACATAGATTTAAGTTTGAGCTACTATGTACATATAGATACTGTCCAATAGCCCAGAGAGGAACAGAAATTACATTGCAACTTTTCACAAAGAGGAGGCATTAGTGCCTGGTGGAAATTGTGAGTGCCTCCTTTTCTAGAGGGCGCCTTTGGCATGCAATGGGCTGATGAAAACTAAAACAGTCCCATGAAATTGACAGTAGTTAAACCAGTCTTTTAAGGACATAAATAAAGAACATAATGTGAAACCAGTGCCAAGAAGGCCTTTAACAGTAAACAGACTAAGTTAGGGTTCTTCAGGATCAGGCCCAAGAATCCTTTTAAGTTGTCACTGATGAGGTGGACTGATAGTGAGTCAAGGTATTAACTGTCAGTTGAGATACCCAGGGAATAATAAACCACACAAAATATAGAATCTGGGGCTCCCTAACCCTTAAATTCCATTCCAACTGGGTGATTCTAAGACATTCCCTAGCCTAATCCCTCTGTCTGAAGAACCATCTCCCTTAGTTCTTACAGAGAGAATTCACCATGAAGGGGACATTTCCAGAGAGCCAGGACAAACAACTGGTGAAGACCCTAATATATATACACATACATATATATATATATACATACATACACACACATACATATATACATATATTATATATATATATAGGATCATTTTGCATTTAGCATTAAGTGAGAAACTAAGAAACTTTTTGCACCTATGTATTTGAAGTCAGTTATGTTTTTGGATCCCTTTGGGTATCAGAAATGAAGTCCAAGTGATAATTTCATTTTCTTTTATAGATTATTAGTTGCCAGACTCTCTGCCTAGCTTACTTGGCACTCAGCACTAGCCTCCTAATTGGTCTTGATGCTTCAAGTATCTCCCCACTCGAAATTTCTGTCTTTCATACAGCTACCAAAGTGATTTTTAAAAGTTTTTTTTCCCCTTAAATGGTAGGTTGAGGTAAAAAGCATAAGTCTATGCACATTGGCTCTTCTACTCAAATTCCAGTGGTTCCCTGTTCCCTCTAAAATCAAATTCAAACTCCTTTGTTTCACATTTAAAGCCCTTTGCCCCTGGCCCCACTCTGGCTTTGCAGATTTCTCACACATTATACCCTTCCCCTCAGCTACAGTCTAGTAAAACTGGTCTTTTGCTGTTCTTCACATACAGCTTCCTTGCCCTTGCATTGGCTGTCCCTCGTGCCTGGAATTCACTTCCTCCTCACCTCCAGCTCTCAGAATCTCTCATTTTCTTAAAGGATCATCTCAAATGCCACCTTTCCTGATCCCCCCAGTTGATAGTGACATCTTCCCTCATATCACTTTGTATCTACTCAATATAGGCCTATCTACGTATACATTTTCTGTCCAAGTTAGATCAAAAGCATTTTGAGGGTAGCAACAATTTTAGTTTTGTTTTTGTATTTCCAGTGCCCTGTATATAGTAGAAACTTAATAAATGCTTGTCAACTTATTGAGAACAAGGAATGATGTGTTTTCTCCATCTTTCCTCTTTTGACCCACAAGTTGGAAAAAGCATATCTTAATACAATTTCTACAGGAATGAAGAGGAGGAATAAAACGTCCCTAACACTTTGAAGGCAGGTTTCTGAAAGGGTTTTCCTTCTCTGTTGTTATCTACATCAAGATTTGGGTAAGAGGCCCCATTCAAGTTTGTCAGATTTGCCTCTTGAGAGGTAAAGATCATATGGAAATGAAGGTAGTGATGGGATATGGTTTAACCCTCGTAGAAGCATGTATGTGTTTGTGGAACATCTGTTTTCCATGAAAGGTCAGTCATTGGAAGCTACCAAAAATATTCCTGGGGCAGCTAGGTGGCGCAGTGGATAGAGCACTGGCCCTGGATTCAGGAGGACCTGAGTTCAAATCCGGCCTCAGACACATAACACTTACTGGCTGTGTGACTCTGGGCAAGTCACTTAACCCTATTGCCCAACCAAAGGAAAAAAAAAAGCAAAAAAAAAGATTCCAAATTTATGTGTAGAAATCATGGAGGTGGGGAGTCTGCTTCGTACATTTTAGCATTTGTTATTTCAATTCCTACCAGAGAAGCTTGTCTTTTTGAAGCTGTTTTGCAGACATTATGTTCTTTTTACATGGATACTATTACAGAGTTACTGATGGGTTGGCCTTTAATCAGTCAAAAAGTATTTATTGAGCTTCTGTTGCGTGCATGTAACTCTGCCAGATGTTTATGGAGAAAGAGGAAGGATGGTTGTGTTATCTTTGTTCTCTGAGAATTTATAATTTAATCACAGAGGTAATAGATGAATTTTTTCAGTATCTTGGAAGGTTTTTAAAGAGAAAAGAGTTTTCAAACTTTTTGAAATGATTTAATTTTTTTAACTGTACAGTTATAGGATTTCACCATGGACAGGAATTTAGAAAGATGACCTTATTTAAATGAAGAAGAAACTGAGGTCCAGAGAAATGAAATGACTAGCTTGAGATCTCACAGTTAATTACGGGTCTTTCTGGGCCTAGTTTTTCAATTGTCTAATCCTGTGCTCTTTCCATCATGTCATGTTGAACACTGACGAAATCACAAAGCATAAATACATGTACAAAGTCATGCATTTATTAAGACTAAAGTTTATTCCAGTTTTACTAATGACTCAAGTTGGAAAAGTGTCATAAACAGTAAGAAATTAAGGTTAGGAATAGAGCTATAATCAAGTTTCTCTCTTTCTTTAGTCAGTTTCTTTTTATTTTGGAGTGTCTTCGTAATTTTGTTGGTATAAGGAGTTCCTGGTAAGGAATTTCTTTTATCCATGCAGAGACTGGCATTTTCTCTGGAACTTGGAGTCTGAGACACTTGTAATTAGCATCAGAATCTGGGTAAGAGACCCCATTCAAGTTTGTCAGATTTGCCTCTTGAGAGGTAAAGGTCAAATGGAAATGAAGGGAGTGATGGTTTGTGGTCTGGCCCCCAGTGGTGCATGTGTGTGTTCGTGGAGCAATTGTTTGGTACCAAAGGTTGAAAGCTGGAGGCTAGCAAAAGAAGATTCCTAGAAACCATGTAGAAATCATGGAGGGGGGGAATCTGTCTCATGCTTCTTTATTTTAGGTCCAGAGCACATGGAGAGGTTAGGTGACTTGTCCAGTCATCCAGCAAGTATATATCAGATATGGGACTTGA